AGAAAAGTTACTCTTCGTAAAAATTGCTGTAGTGATGCATCTAAACCTTTAGATGGCAGCCCATTAACATCTTTGGTGGATAAAGAACACAGGTACATGCTGTACCAAAGGTCACTCAACATACAGTATGTTGGACATTAAACTAGACCATTAAGCTAAGTGCAGTATTTTGTCACACTTTATTTACTGCAGTAAATAAGACATTGCTTTGTTCACAACATCCAGTTCATGTTGAGGTATAAACTGTGCAAAATCAAAGAAGAGAAAATGGCTTATTGCAGTTAATTTCTCTTTTTCTTTTAATCATTGCTAATAACATAAAATCTTCTTAAATTGTGATCCCATTTTCATTGCAGATTAGTCTACCATTTTTTTCTCGAACAAACAATTAATTCCAATTTATCAGTTTGATTGATTAGTCTAAAAAAAGTTAGAAAATATTTATCACAGCCTCTCGGAGCGGAAAGATACTATCTTTTGTATAAACAAAAGTCACAAACCCAATGCTAAATCAAAATACTAGCATTTAAAACTGTTATAAAAACTGAAAATATATACATTTGAACCAGTGGATTTTGACATGGGCTGCAAGGTGGCGCAGTTGGTTAGCACTGTTGCTTCGCAGCAAGAAGGTCGCCAGGTCGCCGGTTCGCAGCCCGGTGGGGGCACTGGGATCTTTCTGCATGGAGTTTGCATGTTCTCCCCGTGCAGCGTGGGTTCTCTCCAGGTTCTCCGGCTTCCTTCCACAAGTCCAAAAACATGTTGAGGTTAATTGGTAATTCTACAATTGTCCGTAGGTGTGAATGTGACTGTGCTTGATTGCCTGTCTCTAAGTGTGGCCCTGTGATAGACTGGCGACCTGTCCAGAGTGTCCCCTGCCTTCGCCCTAAGTCGGCTGGGATAAGCCCCCCCCCAGGACTAGTCCTGAAGTCTCAGTAACCTTTTAATCCACACTGATGGACTTGTATTACACTGAATTCTGGGTTTTTAACTTGACCCAGAATATTTAACAGCAGCCAAGGGCCTGTTTTAGAAAAGACATTTTTTTCAAACGAATTGGTATTAGTTTTTGAGTCCTACAAGGCTCTACAATGCTCACAAATTGGACACAAGTAGTTTATTAGTGAAACTTGTCTAAATGATGCACAACTACTAGTAACTATTAGAATAACCTTACTTTAGTTTTCCAAGTGTATCATTTGAGATAATCAGCTATCGACAAAGCACAAAGATAGCAGATTTTGTTCTGACTTTAGGCTCAAAATGAAAAAATTAATTGATATCTAAAACCTATGGCTCATAAAAAACAAGACTTTCCAAGCAGAAAAACACAAAAAGCTAATGTGCAATACATTCCAGCTTTACACTTTAGGTTTTAATCTCTACTGTTGCTTTCCCCAGCAGCAAGGATCTGTAGCAGTTCCTGTTTACAGCCAAAACACTGACACTGTGTATGTGTGTGCGGGCATGAAGAATAGTGTCTATGACTTTTTTTCTTTTTGTTAATACACTTATAATACCATACACAGTGTGGTTTCACTGCAAGAACAATTGTGTTTTGTCTTTTTGTGATGGTTAGATTCATTTTTTGGCCAGAACACATAAACTAAACAAGTCATAACAGTCAGTGAGTCACATTAAGGATTAGAAAGTTTCTGTCTATGGTGAGGAACAGGTCGACAGTTGCTGCTGCTGCATGTGCGGTCTGCGTTTCGGTGCCGAGTGATGTGAGGAGACGCTTCTTTATCCAGCGCATTCTAATGATGACAGCTGGGAGGAAGTGGGCTGATGGACAAGAAGCAGCTGCAGGTTGGGGGTCATGTTTGGGATGAAAATGTATCATGTGAATCACGAAGGAGGCTGAATGTTAAATAGACCCACACGTCATCGTCTCACTCTTGGCTTATAGAGATATAAAGTACAGGACTCTCGGTCTCACACGGATTGGTTTGAAACTTCACTTATCTGTAAAAGCATTTACACCTGCAAGTGTTTAGTGTAGCATGAATTTATGAAGTTGTTTTCTGTCCACGTGCAGACACTGGAAGCTCATGACTAATGCATGCACGTTCCAACAATAAATCCTATTTAGTAAGAGTTTGGCACTCAAAAAACTCAGCTAATCTGCTAATCAGGGTGCGGTTCATCCAGATTTGACATGACTGTCCGAAAGTGTGGGAACCCATCACTAAGAAACCAATATCTGAGACAATTGGTTTTATTGTCTTTCACAAAAGAGCAGGCTGACTAACTAAGAGATGACAGCCGTATTTATAGCTAATTTGTAGTTAACTCATTCATTAGGCAAAACACCTTTAAAATTGTTGGTTCAGCTTTGTAAATCTGTGGATTTGCTTCTTTTTCTACCCTTATACATCAAATGAATTTATGTTTGCAACTGTGTCAGTTAGCAATTTAAAGATATCTCCACTGACTCTGAGAAACTGTGAGTGCTAGGTTTGCATCACTCTGACATTTTTTTGAAGTACTCAAAACAAACGCTCAGCAGACTAATCAGTGATGACAACGAATAGTAGAGGTAGCAACAAAGTAAAAAAGAGTGCATGAAATTAAATGTTCAACTTATAAAAGAGCTTTGGAAATCAGCCCATCAGGATAGAATGAACATCATCTGTTGTACTTGATGTCACTCAGAACACGACGGGCTCGGCGTTTGTGAAATCCTAAAGATGTTATGCATTCAATATTTTAAGAGCATCTGGACTTTCTGTATATGATGTGGGTGGCTCTCACTTTGAGCATCTCCCTGATGGTGAAAGTTTAAAAGCAAGAGTGCCAACAGGTAATCTTTTTCAGCATTATTGTTATTAATACAACAATCAGAGCTATAAAAGACGTTCTTAAGCTGCTGTCAAAATGACAGCAAACAGAAACAGAGTTGTAAATCAGCTGTAAGAACACACGGAGACTATTATCATTTCCAGACTGTGAATGTTTATAAAGGATAAGAGAACAAAACATACAAGTCAGTTAAAGCTCTCCTCTCTCAGAAGTTGAGTCGTGCTCAGATGATTTATTCATTGTCCCTGTTTCATTGCTTTTGGAATTGTACTTCCTCCTTTTTCTGTCTTTGCAGTTATCCGTCCATGTGGGATGCATCACCAACGTCAGTCCTGATATTAAAACTTCCAGATGACAAAAAGCAGGTCAGAGGGAACCAAGTTTCCTGATTGTCAGCTAAAATCCTTCCCTGGAGACACTGAGAAGCTGGATGAACAGGAGATTGGATTCAGATTTACTTGTGTTTGTGGTGCAATGCAGCCTCCAACATGTCGTACATCATAGTAGGGATCAACTGATTGTTGACAATATTCAGCATTTTCATGAATATTGTTTTTAATCAATTCCAGAAAAATTCAATAAATTTGAAAATGAACCACTTTGGCTCAGATGCAGCCAAGTCTCTCTATGTATAGACCCCACTTGAGCAGTGTCCTGCTCACAGCACTCTCTGATGGGTTACACACCACATGCAAAAGCCTATCAGCACTGAAAGATAAATGTTGAAAAGTTTCCCTTTAATTAAAGATATGTAAATCTTGAATCAATTCATCATAAATCAGCTCTTCAAGCTTTATTTTAACACAGAGTATACAGAAGTATGGTGACCTCATTTTCAATGTAGCCAAGTAAGAAAATGAAAGATGTAGGTACACAAACAAGAAACTTGGATATCAATAAAATATTAAAAGGAAAAGTTAGCAAAATAACAATAATACAAAGGTTTGGTGTTGAGGTTTATGTTATTCAAATTTTGACACCAAGATTTTCATTTCTACTTCAAATATACATCATTCCATGTATCGTATAGCGATCTCTTCGATTTCTAACTATAGCATCAAACCTGAAATCCTTCATCTGTTCTTGCTGTGAAACTAGTTACTGCTTCTTTTGGTTTAAGCTTCCATTTCAGATTAGACTTTTTGATGGCTTACTTTAAGAAACAAAACTTTGAAGGGATAAAAAAGCCTAAAACTAGAACACATGTGGTTTAAATCAGGAACTATTTAGCAAATAACTAGAAAATTAAATATTTGAAGAAAAAATGTCTTTAATCAGTCATTTTGATTGTTTAAGTAGTTTCCTTTGTTTCCCTTTTAGCAGCATCATAATTTCAGGTTATAACAGATGTGAGAAGTTGACATCTCCAGTTTTGCAGGAGATGCAGTGGATGTTTAAAAGCTGCATATGCAGTGCTCAGGAGAACTATACTGTGAGGGAGTGCGTGATAAACAACTTCCAGATTGGCTCCTCTGTATATGCAGTTCTTCCTTCCCTTATGCAAATCCTGCATCATATTTGAGGCACGCAACAAAAGCTCCTGGCTCAGGTGTTTCCTCTGCACTCACAGTGAAGGTGGCCAGGAAACTGTCCCTATGGCTGCCTTCATGACACATGTGCTTTCTTTTAGACACATCCTCCTTTAACTTCCTCCTTCAGCCCAGCATGCTGCAATAGTAGCTTGAAGAATCTATTAGTCAACCTGTGCAATGGGATAGAGATATTTAATTTCCATGCTTTTTCAACATCTGATCTTTCAAATACTCCCAGATGTTTTTTGGTTGTTGTTTTCTCTCTCTCTCTCTCTCTCTCTCTCTCTCTCTCTCTCTCNCACACACACACACACACACACACACACACACACACACACTCTCTCTCTCTCTCTCTCTCTCTCTCTCTCTTTGGAGCTCTGTGAAATCATGACAAGCTGCAGTGCACAAATTTGCTCTGCCTATAATAAACGACGGATCCCTGTTTTTATCCTGGTTTGAATGGAGGCTGAGTCTGCCCCCGAGAGGCTCGCTCATTGGAGGAAATTGGACGGGCAACGTAAGCGTTCGTCTTGAATGGGAAAATAGCAGAGGAGGGAAAAAAAGACAGGCTGAGCAGCAACACACACGTACAGTGTGTCAGCAGCGGCCACCGACACACACAGACACACACACGGACCGATGCATCCACAAGAAGGAGCTCATTATCATCGTCACTTTAGAGAAAACACATTTCCGTCATCAGGAGTTTAACCATAGGATCCGTGTCATTCCGAGCGCATTCCTCAGCAGCGTTTTGCGCATCTCCAATCGCCAGTTTTTGTTTTTTTTGTTTTTGGGTTTTGTTTTTTTTTTTACACTTCTTGTTTCTGCTCCAACAGAAAGGGTCCGCAGTCATGATCGAGCAGCCACTGGCGAAGCGTTTCATTTGAAATTTTTGTATTTCAAAAGAAAAAGAATTAAAAATGGACCAGCAGCTCCCCAAACCAGAATGCAGAAACATGGATGCGTGTCTGAGAAGGCTGAAGCAAGAACTGGTAGGTTCTGTTGGATCTACTTCTGTTATTTCAGGAACCACTGAAGCACGTTGTTCTACTTTATTCAGTAAATTGCTTATGAGCGCAAAAAATAACAATAATAATAATAATAACAATAATCGAAAAAACATCAAATATGTCGCTTTGCTGCACAATATGTGACACATTCCTGTATTTCTAACTCTCACATTCTGGATTTTAGTTTTCAGCTGAGGCTGCATGTGTATCTTTTTAAATCGCATTAATCTGTGTGGGCTTAAAGCTCTGAGCACACCAGAGGCTTGTGTACTCATCCCTCCTCTCTGTCTACACATCTGGGACAGATGTTTTAAGCTTAATGAGCTCAAGACAGTTTTCATTTTCTTCTTTTCTAACAAGTAGGACTGTTCTTACACTGTGGTGGGCTGTAGATTCTGGTAAGAAATGGATGGATGGATTTTGCACCATTTTTAGTGTGTTGTAGTAGTAAATTTAATCATGTGTTGCAACAGACTGCTGGGAGCTCTTGCTTTCACAGGGGAGTGAGTGGATTTGGCAGTCACATTGAGTTTCATCACATTTTCATGCCTTGAATGACTTACTTAGACTCCATTATTTATTATCTGCACGTCTCCTCTCCTCTAATAAACAAATTTGTTTGATGATAACAAATTTAGAGTGCCATCTCCCTCCTCCCCTTTGAAATGGAAAATAAGTTAAATCTGTAAGCTGCACCCTCACGCCCAAAATCATCTGGCAGTGACCCACTGTAGACCCATTTTCAAAGGAGCCTTAACTGGCACCGACTTCATTTGGAATCATCTTCAAAGCAAACACAGATTTATTTTTTTCTCTTTCTTTCTGTCTGTCCAGCCACTGGTCCTCAGAAAGGCCTCGCATGGCTCCATGTTTTGCAACATAATCTGCTCTGTGACTTGATTCACTGCTCCAAATTAGTCGCACGTCTGTGAAGTGGTACTTGAGATTTCAGGGGGGAAAGTTGTCGTTGATGCCAGACATACATATTGTGTTATAGGTGCCACATTGCAGTTTGGTAACATAATAGAAAAAAGTGTCATGCCACGCCGAGGATCAAACAGGAGAACAGAGAGCAGATGCCGGTTAAAAAGCCGAGGCAGTCTCCCCCTGCACAGAGCCATGTGGTTTGCAATCTGTTGTTCTGAAAATACGGGCTGTCGATGCCAAGGCTGTCATTTTTCTTTGCACTGTGACTGATTTTCATTCAGTGCTCACTGGAGAGAGGTAAACCATCTACAGCACGGAGATCACAAACATCTAACAACTGACCTGCAGCTGCGATGCCAAGTCAAGTAGCTCTTCAGTATCAGTGTTGACTTTGCTGCTTTGAAGCCTGCAATGTGGTTTTTAAAAGGACCATGCCAGTTGTTTTGCATATTTTTGAACATTTACTGGAAATCAAACGCACCTTAAATCTCTCCTAACCATCCTGCAAACTGTGCTGCTGTGTTTCCATTCATTTCTGGGCTGCAAAAGCTGATCGAGCTGCATTATCCATCATACCCAACCTTGATTACTTTTGTCAAAGTTACATTGTTGCTGTAATGTAGCTTAATTGCACATTGATTTGGCTTCACTGCATTACAACATCCTGTGCTGTTACTCTGATCAAATGAATGCAGACTTCACAGTCAATGTGGTGACTGAACAGCTCAGGCGTTTTAAAGTGGCTGATAATCAGACTGAATAGCCATTAAGTTTCAACTTCATTATTGGCTGGGTTTTCTGCTGGGATGAGTTGGTTTTTTGTTTTTTTTTTTGTGGTTTTTTTGCTGTAACCGATCGAAAGCAAGCAGCATATCCATCCTGCCAACATCAAATTTCAGTCAACACAGAAGATGTTTGCTATCTACATTGACCACATGGGTCAAAGAAATATGCCTGCTCTTTCTGGAAGTTGGCCTGTAACCACAGTATAGCTGCATCAGACTTTTTGTGGTCATGGTTTCTCTTCAGAAGAAGGCATCCTCATTCTTAAGTCCACTAACAAAAAGAAATGTTGATGAGCTCAAATATGAGGACTGGAGCCTGGTTAAGTTTTAGGAGTCTCCATACTGTAAGTTGCATGGAAATGAATGGAAATACTCAAAGGCTTGTGGGAAAATGAGTCTAAAGACAAAAGATAAAATGGTGCAACATGTTCTACAAAACTTTAAGGTATGCATAATGTTTAGAAAAGAAGCTTAAACAAGTGTTGCAAAAGCGCTGCTATGATCCTTTCAATCTACACCCTAAAATACTCTGACACGACTGAACAACAGTCACCTCAAAACTGGAAATTCTACATAGTTAAGGTTGCAGTGTCTGTAGAAAAACGTGAGCTTGGCATTCAAAGTCTGACGAAAAAGTTACATAAACTACAACTGTCCACTCAACACTCCACATCAGACACTAAACCCAAGATGTGTTGCCCTGTCAGCTCTAAAAGAAGAAGGGTGTCATTCGAAAGTGTGAACACTGTGTCAGGGGTCGGGGCTGTCAGTCTGTGTAGGGGCAGAGTCAGGTCACGCTTAAACATTTGACCCACAACCTGACAAGGTCTGGGGCCATTTCTGCAAGCTGCTGACCGCATCTAACACACCAAAAACGCTACAACTCAAACCTTACAGATTGGGTTTCGAGTTGGGAATGTGTCATCATTTTTCATCCGTCTGTTTGTGCTGCTCTTACTGGGAACTGTCTGTCAACAGGCTGTCAACCACAATTTGTTCTTTTAAATGCACTACAAGGCTCCATTGAAATCCTGAGGATATAATGGCAACAATGAAATATTTTTGAGCTCATGGGTGACTCATTATTCGTGCAGCAGGCAGACAAAGAGTCATGCAAAAAGACAACATAAGCTCTTCCTGCCTACTTGGAGTTGAAAATGCTAACACTGACATGCCATTGACTCACGTTGTCTAAATGTAGGGTTCACACCTGCTTAGTGGCGTCATTTCAGACACTAAAGCATAAATCAGAGCTTTTGATATCATCACTGCTGAAGCTGATTTCACATGCATCATGCTGTTTTACCCCTTTCACACCTGAGGCAAATTTCAAACACAACTGTCACCTTTGGAATTCAAAACCGAAGCCAGAAAACATGAAGTCATGAAATCTGAGAGAAATACCACACAAGTGCCAAACCTACCGTGTGTATCTGGAAAGTCCTGTGCTCTTTGTTATCTTTTGGGGCGTTGGATTAGAAAACTTTACACAAAGCAGGGTAGTGGTTTAACTTGAAGCTTGTTTGTTTTGTGCCTCCCTCACGGCTCCTGTTCTCCAAAACTGCCCTTCCTTCCCCTCAACTAAAATTGGCCCTGACTGTTGGTGGCAGCTGTGGGGTTTGCGTGGGTGATCATTGTGTTTGAGATGGACCACGAACCTTTAACAAAGCCTGTTTATCATTATGGGCCTGTGTGCGCAACCTGCTTTTTCATGGTTCACAGAATGGAAAATGAAATCACCAACCAAGATATCAGATTTATTTAGGAGCTTTTGTTTCTCGAGACAGTTGAGCGGTGAATTATGGTGCTGCTGTGGCCCCACACACAATCTTCCTGATGTTACATCAAGTCCCTCCTCTCCTCTCTTTGCTTTCACTGGAAGAAAAAAATACGGGCATTATTTCTCATGGGTACTGCTCTCAGCGAGGTTTAAGTCAACATCCTCTATGGTCTTTTGTTGCTCTGTCTTTGGGGCCTTCCAACTACATTTTGTGTGGCATCATTGCTTCATCTATGGCCAAAAGATATGCTATTTATGGAATTACTGTGCTTATTCTGCTATTGAAATGGAAGAAGTGCTGGGCCATTTAGGGGCAGCAAAAATAACTGAACACCATTTTGCCATAATTGTGGCACACATCTAGCAGACACAGAGCAGCATAATGATACATCTATTTGGAGTTGTGTTTCTGACCTCCAGATCAACGTACGTCCAATATTCACTCTGCTTTTAGCTCAGTTTTGATCTGTGCCATCCCTGAGGGAATTATCAATCTCTTTAGCAGCTAAATGCTCCACTATGTTCACCAGATAGTCAATAACGTCAACTGGAAAAAGAAAAAGAAGCTGTGTGAAGTAAAATTCTCTGCATCCCCTTTTATGTTATAGTAGTCATTTGATCCATTGTATTCAATAAATCAACAATAAAAATTCCCTACTTCATTTATAACTCAGCACTTTCAATAAATAAAACTGGTCTTGTTCCAGAAATGCTTGCATGATTTTACACTCCTTTTGATGTTAGAAGGGGCTGCAGAATCGTAGCACTTTCGCTGCCCACACACGAGGTACTGACGTCAACCGCTGAACTATGAAGCATCTATGTAACGATTACTGCCTCCAGTTTAGATTATGAGCCAGGAAGGCAACAGATTGGGTCCCAGACTGTCTCCAAGAATCATCTGCCAAAGATGATGATACAGACCCTAATCATCTCGCGTCTCCCAAAGCAGCGTCGTTTGTGATGCCGTAAATGAGCTCTAGCAGGAAACAAGCTATTAAACCACCTCCCAGTTCTGAAAAGGCCGTTAGGGAGTCTTTGCTGGGCAGCAGGCTCTAGAAACAGTAATAGATTTGGCCCACATTGATTCAGTTTAAGGATTTTCCATTCTCATTTATGATTTGGTCTTGCCACAAGAGGATTGAGCACTTCAAGATTTACTAACAATGTCATGCAAGAAGCAGTATAATTCAGTGAGGATGGTGCAGCTGTCTAACAATACTTTAAATTTGCCTCAACACAAATCTGTCCCAAACCACCTGCAGAAACAGTTGTGTGTTCTTGTTTGATGTGCATAGATTGAATTGTATGAACCATCCCTTTATATCATACTCACTGTGAGGATCCATTACATGTTATACAAACATGAGAACATGAGAATCATAAAATCCAGCCATTCAGGTTCATGTAGAATATCAAAAGAAAATTATTGTTTAAATATACTCCTAACGACCAATTTGTCGTGACATCATACCAGGCATTTGTGTCCC